GCTTGGAATCCCCTGCTGCCACACAATCTACTCAAAGCTGGTGAGTGGCACGCCTCTCACCAAATGGGAGGTCCATCCTCGGTGGCGCCTACGAGAGCCATCCTCTCGAGATCCATACCGACGAATCCTCGACCCTAAGATCGCCACTGCTCTCCGTGGCAGACCTAAGAACACCACACAGGCTGTTCCAGCGCGGCTAGCCATTGAGGCAAGCAGCCAGCCGAGTGGCCAACGAGCCAGCAATCCAGCAAGCCAAGCGACAGGGCGCAGACGAGGTCGACCACCAGGAAGTCACAACAAGTCAACGCTAGCTAGGCTTGCTCTGGAAGCGAGCCAACAGGCCAGCAGCCAGGCTAGTAGCCAGGCCAGTGCCTCATCCCAGCGCCAGACGCGCAGCCGGTCAGCTGTTCTTGGAGCTGGAAGAACTACAGGAGTACGTGCCAACGGACGGAAGACGCAATCTAGCATTCGCAGGCGAAGGAGTCAGTGGGAGCTGCTTGACAGCGACGAGGAGGTTCTTCCATCTATAGTAGTTAGAGGATAGAGATATAGATAGCTGCCCTCTAGGGCGTGCTGGAATTGGCCGTGTTCTGTATTGAAAACCAGACCTTGTTTTGATATACGCCTAAGACCTGTTCTAGAGGCCTGGTTGACCTGGTTGGTTCTGACTATACCGAAAGCACGGCCTTGTTAAGAGAGCTTGCTTCACCGCCTTTGCACTGATGTACCTGTGGGTCGAAGGGGAAAAATGAGCGAATCAGAGGCGATAGAAGTCATGCCCGTGTAAGAGTCATGCCCGGGTAGCAATTCTTCATGCCCGTGTAGTAATTGCCTACCTTAAGGTACTTAAGTAGCGTACGTGGGCAGACCAGAGCGGAGCGTCGAGGCGAAGGCCTACTGCAGGGCTTGAGCCTCCATCAGCTGCGCGACTGTTCCTGTTCAACCTTAAACCAACGCCTACGTGGCTCAGGGTTGTACAACATCATCAGCACTCAAGCGTTGAAAGCATGTCTTGGTAGCGGGTATTCGCGATGCTGCCAGCACACGTGTACTTGCGCGGATCTCGTCCTGTTAGAGTAGACGAGGTACCCCCCTCCTGTGTCACGGTTGCGCCGCAAGAAAATCGGGCAACAGGTTAGGGAGTTCTTTGGGGTCGGCACATCGGCTTGAGCGCAGATGAAGATGTGACAAAGTATCCCTCGCACTTCACGTATCCCCATACGTACAAGACTCCGAGTCTCGAAGCCTTCTGTGATCGATTCCCAATTGAAGTCTTGCTATTTATCTCATTGCCCAGGCTCCATTGTGTGACAGTACAGATCCTGGCTGGTAAGTCAAATGACGATTGCCTACCTACCTACCTAGGTAGGTAGGTCTTGGAGCAGAGCTGCCAGTGATGCAGCGAGACCCCGCCGATAACGATACCGTACGGGAGGTTCTCGGCACGTCCAACGTTGAGCACCATTTTCCGATGTTTGTCGTTTCCTTGCAGTACAGCTCATGGTCGCCAATACCAACATTGGTTCCGCTGCCGTCATCCACAACACCATCGTGCCCCGCCTCAGCCTTGAGCTAAGCATTTCCGCGCGCCAGGTCTCTGTGGTCCCCTCGGCAATCTCAAACCAGGAATTTTTATGGCGTCCGATGCCGTTGACACCGATGACGTGTTCCACAATGTGTCTCAGCGCAGATGGTCGTGTGCGGTACTGACCTCCACAGATTTAGACTCTAACGACGGCAGCGGTGAGAGTCCGGGCCGCCAATCCCTTCTAAGAAGTCCAAGGGCATGGCCTGCAAGGCGGCGGACGCCGGCGATATCTATTCCGAGCCTGGCGCCGACAAGGTCGCCAAGAAGCGCCGTGCGGCGGAGTCCGTTGTCGATGAGGAGTGGCAGTGGTACCAGTAGTAGTCGTCCTGGAGGAGACCACGCCTAGTAAAGGCATTTCTACACGTCGGGACAGGCGTCCGTCAACGTGGCGCAGCTCTTAGCATGGGAGCGCGCCAGGCACCACGGTCAGCAGGAGACCTTCGTAGAACAGTTCGCGCTCGAAAGGAGTGACGAAGAGGATACGTCCGATCTGGATTTGTTCCTTCACTGGTTTCGACCAGCGCTGTTCGGTCTCGCTCCGTGTGCGGCACTGAGGGATGTCCTGGTTTAATATATGCTGAAAGTCCACCGATGAGTTGTTCAGATCGAAACATTTGAGAAGCGTGGTAGAAAACCGGGCGGGGGCGCTAGCCAGATATTGCGGTGCCGTACCCGGGTCGATGGTGAAGCCGAAGAGCCGCCAGCACGCCTTGGTAGGCCCTCTAGATATCGCGCGATCTCGTCCTCTTGATCGGCACTGACCGAGGCCTTGATGTGGTCGCTGCCCTAACAAATGTACTTGTGGAAGTAGACGCAGACATGGCCCCGGAGATCCGTACCTTCATGTACGCCTGGTATCACCGACAGAGTGAAGGAGTATAAGGCACACCCATTCATTACCGACCCGTACCGCACCCAGACCCTGCCTGAGCTGGGCCCTCTTAAGGACAATCCGGCCATCCTGCCTCCTTCGATAGTCTGAGTACCCATCAGAGTCCACGTTCGTGGACTTAATGCAGCAACAGTTCGTACACTTCTACCTAAGAACCATACACGGCGCACCTCCATTCAGCGCGCTGCAGGGCTCATGATCATCTGAGAGTCTACCAAGTCTCGCGGCGCCCCTATGGGACCGCGCTCTGGCGAAGCAAGCTCTGCTGAAATGAACGTATCGATGCCTTCCGAGGTCGAAACTCGCGCGGTCCCCGAGCAACACTAACAGGTGTAGGTACGGCGGGCCATGCTTGTGATACTCTATCGTTCAGATGACGCCGGTGCACACCCCGAAGTACAGCAAATGTGTTGTGTCTCGTAATAGCTAATTCACCTTAAAGGTGGAAAATCCGGGCCACGATATCAGGCTTCTCGTTCGACTCAGCGCCGACGCACGCCTCGAAACCTTCTCCCACCCAGGGTTGACCTTGAAGGTGAAGAACAGCGTAGGTCGGCCCGGGTGGCGCACGATAGCCATCAAGTCTTGGTGGTAGCTGGACACATATACTGGGAGCTCCCCCGATGCTTCGCGGGCAGGATAACACGTCGGCCGAGACCCTCAAGCGTGCTCCCTGCGGCGGCGTCAGGATGCTGGCGTCCGATGGCGTGCGCCACTTGCGTATAAGCGTCAGCACATAGCTCTTCCTGGTGTAGGCAGATCCATAGCAGGTTGCTGTTCGATAGAGGCACAGAGGTCGGCAACCGACTGCTGGAAGAGCCGCCCGTTGGCGAACAGGACCAGCTCAGACGGTCGAGGGGAGGCGTCCCGATGTCGTTGGAAGGTGATACCTGGCCTAGTTCAGGAAAGAGATGTACTCTCTCTTGCACCCGCTGCCGACGAAGAGGATGTTTGCGCGATCCCCGACGCCACCGTGCGGGAACATGAGCGAATAAGACAGCGGGCAGTAGGCAGGGTCGTTCGAGGGTGTAGAGAGGTAGGATTGCCCGCGACTGGCACCGTTGTCAGCCGTAACGACTCGAATGTCAAACGACCTGTTGCCCATCCTCGCTGGTGTCCGGCACCAAGGCCGCGATCTCGTCCGCCGTGGGGAAAACCTCCGTATGTCGGTTTGCACGACCAGGCGTAAGTCAGGGTTCAGAGTCGCACAGACCTGACCCGGACCTCAGTGCATCGAAGCCAGGCGATCTTCCGCCCCCTTGAGCTCCGCAAACGTGTTAGGCTGGTGCAATAGTCGCCACACCAGGTCTCGATGGAGGTTTATGGTCCTCGTAAGTCAGTGATCGGCGGCGATGGCCGGATCAAGAATATATAGTTGATCATAGCTCGCATTGTCAGCCCTGAGTGTAGTAAAGCTAACCCTGCACGGGCGCCGTAATGTCCCTGACCGAGGAGGCGTGATCGCGAATGCTCGGAGACTTAAGGAGATTATTCGTCATGTATGACGCGTTGTGGAGGACTGGGAGGTGACCGTACCCTTCCAAGGGCTTCTGCTTAAATTGGACAGAGACACTGTGAAGGCCATCGAAGGGTGATGCCCGATGGTATCAACTGACGACGCTGAGGAGATGGACTCCCGAATGGAGAAAGGCACAATCTTCAAGAATTTCAGCAAAGAACGGAAGTTGATCATTAGACAGGGCCTATGGTCTACAGGTCACACAATTCCCTCATTCACGAAAGCACATTCATATCTCCACCGAAAACATATACCACCAATAGTTACCTCATTTTTCGTACTGCAGTCTTTCTACACGGCCTTCTTCGGCACTGTGTCCGAGCTCGATGGCACTTTGCGCCGAGGATTGACACAATCCGATATCTCGCCAGTCAAGCTGTTGGCGTCTTGTCACCGGGCCGAAAACGTGGGACTAAGAGGGCGAATGAGCTGTCGAGTCATCAAGCAGGAAAACGGCAAGCTCTATTATGGACGAGAACGACCGAAGTGAACTCACTCGTTCAGTCTCCAGCCCATCGTCCCGTTCACTTCCGCACATTCCGACATGGACGTGCAGAGATTCTTCACACGGAGCAAGATACCCTTCCGAATATGGCTTAAGTGAAAGTCGCCGCAAAGGACTTGCAAGAGCAGGGCTTTGAATTATTCTCGATTGACCTGGAGAGTTTGATTCCGGGCATGCTACTAGATAAAGCATTCAAGCGCGGTGTTAATACTATCCTAGTCCTCCCGCAAAAGCTTATTGTGATAAGCAAGCCTCTGAAAGAGGCGATCGAAACACTAACGCGGGGAGCAGCCGACACTATCATACAATATCTTCGAGTAATAAAGACGAGCCCGGACAAGATATTATAATGTGAGCAATATCCGTCTGACAATGCTTTTCACCAAGCTGTAGCTGGCGTTCGTTTGAAGCACGCCACCCTTCCGGATATCCTTGAGAAAAAGCCTTATGAGGAACAAGTCTTTGCACTACATGCAAACGCGGCATTGTGGCTATACTACGCTCGCGACTGAGATGTAGGAGGCTTGCTAGTGAATGGCGCCACTACTGGATCAAGAGCGAGCCCTAGTAGGGGTCGAACCTCCCATGGCATCGTAGCATAGTCAAACGCTGAGGTCTGCAGCGGTGGACGATCGCTCAGACTAGGATAGAAGTGGCTGAAGATGGAAGGACTGTGTTCCAAGTGCTGGTACATGACTGTGGTTGTCAGGTCCTCGTCGTGTGAAGGCCCTCCTACATTTTGTCCTAGGCAGCCAATAAGCCAGCCGAACAAGTGATGATATGCCTCTCTCATGACTTGCCCTTCTATGCCGCTTGCTGTTTGGACAGCTTGAGTCATCTGGGATGATGCCATATACGATACGCGTGAGAGGTCCTCAGTAATGATCACACACCACATCTGGAGCAGGACGAGCCAGGACTCGTGGTGACCCTGCTGAACGAAGTATGAGCGGCTGCAGATGATGTGGCGAAGCCAGGCCCAAGACTGCTCTGCTTCTGGCTTCTTCTTCTCTCTGCGAGTTTTGATGAGGGCTTTGCGTATGAAAAGAGCTTTGTGTAGAGGGCACTCATCCCGCCAGAAAGCCTGAAGTTCGCCATTCATATCCAGGGAGTAACCTTCCTGGAGCAGTGTCGAGATAGCTGAGCATGGTCGAAAGAATGTCTCAGTACATCCGCAGCCATATTCCGCAGATACGCGCACCATACGTATGCCAGCTGAGGATTGTTTTGCTGACAACATCACACGTGTAACTCTTCCAAGACCATATCAAGAAAGGGGCGGCCTATACGGAAACTTATATGCGACACGTCTGGCCTGTACAGTCTCGGGCGCTATCTATTCCATGCTGACTTCATAGCTAGCTAAATAGGACCTTGGCACCAAGCGGTCAAAAGTCATCGCAGACGTTCAGGGGGGTGCGCGCCGAGACGCTAATCACGACTGGTCTCCACCACCTTCCCCAGTACCGACGATGACCTCATTTCGACCACAACAACGTCATTACTGTCGCAAGGAGCCTCAAATTGAAGCTGTAGGGCCTTCTCGCGATGCGCTTTCTCCTAGAACTCAATTGAACCTCATAGCTCTCTTTTTCGCTCAGTTTCACAATGGTTGGAATTGAGCACGATACGCCGACCCGGGCCCAGGTCCGCGGGGCATTGCAGTACCTGCAATGGAGCGGGCGCCTGTCGAATCGCACCACCCAAGCTAGCCACTCTGAAGCTATTGAGATGCACTCTAAAGAGGACGTTTTCAAGGGCTTTGGAGTCTCTGCTAGCCAGGGCTATGTATGGCTTCGAGAAGCACCTCTCCAGAACTCCAGGCACCCACGGGAGCCCTCGCCGTCGCCTACTGCACCCCCTAAGAAACGCTGTACTGACTGGCCCTCTCGACGGAACGCGAACAACCCTCATAAACCATACCGTATAGGACGTCCTGTAGGCTTCACTCTTGAGGACGGTGAGGACCTTCATTACTGGCTAATTAACCTCCCAGAAGAGGATAAATACCAAGGCTTCAGGCTCCCATAGCCAGTCGCAGCAGCTGAAGCAGACATCGACATCCACGTTACCGAGCGAACAATCCGCCGCCGCATGGGTGAAGTAGGGTACGGCACTCGCAACTCGTCGCAGAAGGACGGCCTCGACGATCCAACGAAGGCCAAGAGAGTTGCCTACGCAAAAAAGCAGCTTCTCGAAGGAAGCTGGGATAACGCAGAATGGCGGAGAACCTGCTTCTCTATGGACGAAGTCCATTTCGGCTTTTAACCTGCACTGACGACAAAGGTCCACCGCCGACCTGACTAACGTAACGAGCACTGGGTCGTCCAAACCAATGACCCCCAAAAGAAGAAGAAGAAGTTCCGGAATGCCTGCCGGACGATCAGAAATATAGAGCAGGACACTACAGGAGCAGATAGCCTAGCGGACGAGAACGAACAGACTCTTCTCCACGCTGTCTGGGCCGTTGGGTACGACTTCAAATCGAGGCTATATTGGTATACGATCCCGACGAATAAGAATGGCAAGATAACGGCGGAAGTACTCAAACCCATTCTAGGCCAGCTATTTACGGAGATACAGCAGCATGTTGGGCACCCGGGCTTCCGCCTATATATGGACAGCGATAGTAGCCATCACTCTAACGCATTGAGTGACTGGTGTAAAGACAACGACCGCTATATCGTGATAGGCCCAGCCCTCTCTCCTGACCTCAATTGGGTCGAGAGCTCCGTTAGACGTATCAAATGGCACGTCAAAAATAGCCCCCATTTGACGACTGACGACTTGAAGGCAGTCATCGAAGCAGGGCTTCAAAAATGCACTCGGAAGAAGGTCGACGACGACCTCAATAGTATGAAGCACCGATTTGAGCAGGTCATTGCAGCAAATGGCGATAGAACGAAGTACTAAGTTGATTGGATAGAGGCTCAAAAAAACCCCGCTTTTGTATGCAATTTGTATGGACGGCTGTAAATATTGTTAGCGCCGAGGAATTCAGGCTCCACACACGTCTGCGATGACTTTTGACCACTTGGTGCTTGGGAATGCCTACTACTCCTATGGGTCCGGTGAAAAATACAGTTTACGCAAGTGGAGCCCCCGAGTTCCGTAAAATTGCCAGGCTGGGTGGTAATCTATCCACAATGGCCGATTAATAATGACCTGCCCTTAAGTACGTCTGCCACACCAACTGACTGGGTCTCACATTCGAGGTACAGATCGTCCATGGCGCAGAGCCCAAGGATCAGACCAGTAGCCCGCCACTTCATTGCCAGACGAAAGCGGTCCAGCTTCGGAACCTGGGTAGAAAGGGAAGCTTCAACTGGAGAGATCCATAGGTGGACCCAGTCTCGTACAGGTCTCCGCACAGGTCAGTTAGCAAGAAGTTATAACCTGAGCCCAGCTAGGATGTGGCGGGACCGATGGTACTGAGAGGGGACTTGGTACCGAGCTTGGGTTAGTCCTCGCTTACTGATCTTGAAGACCGATCAGGCACTAAAGCCAGAGGCTGGCTCTCATGCGCATGTCTTCGTCATCTGTCCAGAACTTTGCTGCCATATCTACTGCGCTTAATGATCGTCCTTGCGTCAAACCTTGCTCCCATGTTGTTATGTGCTCGTGCCATGCGCTTACCTAGACGTCCGACGCACTAAGCGGGAGCCATGCCTTGATCCTCTGCCCGAAGTACGCACTGGACAGTGCGCGGCTTGTCATGGCAGCACCTTTTTTGTCGAGCACGGTTTCAGACAGCAAGATAACATCTCGGAAGTAATTGTGGCGGAGCAGGGAGGTGCGTATGTCAAGTTGACTGCTGAAACACTGCTGGGGCCGAGCAGGTCATCCAGAAGCTGAAGAGCGTCCACAATGTTGTGGTGATTCTGGGAAGTGCCGTGACGCCAAACCAGCGTGCCAGCCCTGGCATATGCCATGGGGTCACCGAGAGGAGACTGTGCGATGTGAAGTCGCTGGCAACTGGTGATAAAGGAAGACTCTATCGGACAGCTCTCGTCGTTTCCCCGCTGTTAATGCACACGATGACGTTTCCGGCTGAGCAAGCATTCCAGGGTCGATGCCATTGGCTCCTCAATCTGGGCATGCGACTGCTCGAGCACGATGACGATCACGGGAGAGCGACAAGCACAGTGGGCGGCTGCACACGATAACTTGATCGAGCGAGGGAGGGGTCATCAGACTTCGAAGTGCCAGCTCTGACACGAATGAGCTGAGTGTCGGCAGTAAGCCACTGTGATAAGAGAGCAGCTCACGAGCCAGGATTGGCCGAGCAGCCAGTGCCTCTTGGGCGGAGCAGCATGAGCTCCGCAGCCGGCCACATGGAGACTGTGTCAATGCAGGGTCCACTTCTAAGCGCACTCCATTTGGCGGCTCCTTCTCTTTGCTGCACCCCGCAGCCCGCTGCTCCGGCGTTCCTCGCCCTGTGGCACGGGTAGTGGGAGCTGGGGTAGTCTGCGAAACACCCATCGCATCGTCTTCCCAGGTTGATTCACGACCAACCGATGGTAGGTTTGGGATCCCCTGCTCAAGTGGACCAACTGAGGTGCAACCGGAGGTCCCAACACAGTGCTTGCTCCTCCAGGACTCGCAATGACCCGGGAGGTGACTTGTCATGCACATTGGCCACGGTTCATCCCGCCATGCGCGTAAAGGCTCGAGGAGTAGTTCGGGGGCGTGAGGCACCACGCGTCAAGCGCGTCTTGGCGAGGTTCCGAGCCGTGTTTGCCAGGCCCCCGTGAGTTCTCACAGGGGCTGGCTGGCGCTAATGCGCTTTCGAGACTGCTGTGAGGAGCCAACTGCGCTGGCTCGACATAACTTCTCCCCACTTGACACGGGGAAATAGCCAGCACCTTGGACATATCTGAGCGACCGCCACGCAGTGCGCACGACCGTGTCGGCTGCTCTTTCTGTCAGAGTGGCGACAGCTACTTAAGCCATATTTTCAGCCTCGGTCACGCCGCCAGTCGCCGCATACCAAGATGGCGACGTGCCTGGCGCTGTTTTCCCTGGACTCGCACCACCACGCCACCAGCACCAGTGCTGGGACGACTCTCTTGCCCCGCACCAAAGATATTGTGTCGTGCATCAATGATGCCATTCACGTCCTTCTCCCGTGCTCGGCAAGCCTGGCAGGGCTTAAGACGCTTGAAGACGTCCTCATCCAGGGTTTGCTCGACGTAAGGTGCGAACAGACGCAGGTGGGCGACACACGGGCACGATCTCCCCAACTTCAAGACGAATGTTCCGACGCAAGTTACACGAGCATCACGTTTGATACCAGTCGGCAACATCGGAGGAGGAGGCCTCGATCCGCGGAGCGCAGCGTTCCCGGTACATCCTGCCTGCATCTGACCCGCAACTCTCTCTCAACCTGTCGCATCCTGCTGCTGCCGCACCCGACAAAGAGACGACCCCGATCAACGATGCTGCTGCGCCACATGCAGCGGCGGTGGTGAGGACCCTCGAGGAGGATCAGCAGAGCAATGTTAGTGACGGAGGAGCGGCCGATCCTGTTCACCAGCACCCGAGCTGTGGCCGAGTGCCTTTGTCCAGCGCACCAATGTCTGAGGATGGCTCTGCAAGCAGCAGTGGCCACGCCTGCGACTGACTGTGGCCGTGCCGGCACTGCGACGACGGCCGATCCTCTCAATAGTGGCTCAGATCCCCAGCGGCCAGACGACAACGACCTTTTGAGCACCGTGGCAGACGAACACCGTGGCAGAGCTCATGAGTCTAGCGACACTCAATCCGGTCCAGATGCGGCCACTAGTAGCGATGCTACCCTCGTGTCCAGGGGCAATCAGCATCATTCTGCCACTACAGCGACTGGGCGCTTTAACTTGCGGTCAAAGAGAGAGCACGCGGACGTCGCGGCGGATAGCCCGGCGAAGCAAACAGAGGGCGGTCACTCGGGCAAGGCAAGCAGGTCGCGGCCCAAGCAAAAGAAGCGAAAGTCCCAGACTCGGATGCGCGACCACACAGTGGAGAGCATGGCCAGGCTTGCTGGAGCGAAGTCGACCAAGCGTGTTCCGGAAAGCATCGACGAGAAGACTATGCATTCGCAGTACTTTAGAACACAGCCCGCAGGAACGATGGACCATGAAATCGACGCTTTCTCCGAGCTCTAAGAAACCTACTCTTCTGCTACCAGTATAAGTCGACGCCTCCATTCTCAACCACCCTGCCCAGGCCCATCACAACAGACGCCGAGCTCCCAACAAGATGCATGCCGACCAAGGTAGTGTGGCCAGGACAAGGGCTTTGCGGCGGCAACCTAGCAATCTCAATTTAGGGCCCAGTGTACTGTCAATAGGATATGATAAGTCCACCCTCCGCCTCGCGACCAGGGCGCATCACGACCAGGGGTCGCGACACGACGCGTTCAAACACCCCACCATACAATCTGCCATATAAACCTGTTTCCTCGCGTCTCTCTGCGACATAATTACGACCATTACAAACCCCAAAAATGAGGCTATCGTCATGGTGCCAAAAGACTACCAATTGCGCGCCCGCCGCGCACTGGACGACATCGAGGCTGGCGTACCTATTGCGACAGCTGCCAAACTACACGAAGTCGACAGATCCTACCTACGTCGTCGCCTCAAGGCCGTTCCAACCTTCAAGTAAAAATACCAAGTCCGACAAGCCCTCTCCGTCACCCAGGAAGACTATATGGTCTCCTGGGCCCTCGACCAAGCCAAGCTGGGCTATGCAGCACCATTGAAGCAATTCAAGCACTTCGCGATGCGGCTGCTGTCGATCGACGACCCCGCCGCACATCTTGGGCAGCACTGGTACCGTCGTTTCATCCACCGAAACCCAACCTTGACAACCTCGAGATCACGACTTATCGAATACAAACGGTACAACGGTGCCTGCACGGCCAACATTGATATCTTCTTCGACCGGTTGACGTCATTGCAGCGCAGAAAGGTGCAGCCCGAGAATATCTAGAACGTAGACGAGTGCGGAGTGGCAGAAGGCCTAGGTTACAATGGCTTCGTGGTTAGTGATACTCTGCGTAAGTTCACGTTGAAAAAGGACGGCGCTAGGAGGACCTGGATTACGATAATCGAGGCTATTTCTGCCGGCGGTCGTTCCATCCCTCTATTGGTTATCTTCAAGGGCCAGTCCGTTCAATAGTAATGGTTTCCTGATGTCAAAATCGATCGATGGAAGCATTAGTGTTTTGAGACTTCACCAAACGGGTGGACCAGCGATGATATTGCGCTGAAATGGCTCAAGGAGTTGTTCATCCCTAACACGGTTCCTGCTATTCCTGGTCAGTGGCGATGCCTTCTCCTAGACGGCCATAAGTCGCACGTAACAGAGGAATTCATAGCGGAATGCTTTATTAACAAGATCTGGCTGATTTACCTCCCGGCTCATACCTCACATGTTCTTCAGCCACTTGACGTAGGCGTGTTCTCGGCGGTGAAGTCGGCCTACCGTACAGCGGTTACAGAGGTTGCTTACGACACCATGAACGAGACCCCAGGCAAGCGGGAGTTTCTTGAGGCATATGAAACTGCGCGCAAAAGCAAGATGAACAAGGAGAACATAATGGCCGGCTTCAGAGGCACAGGGGTGTGGCCACACAATAGGTCAAAAGCGTTGAGCTCCCGGTTGATGTTGACCCCTGAGGAGTCGCAGTCGACATCTCAAGATGGCCCAAATCAGGCCCAAATGACGTCTACAGAGCCGGACTTTTTGACGCCCTTATGCGCAATTGACGTCAAAACGCCAAAAACAGGTCGCGATATCTATGCATTGCATCAGGTACTGATAAAATGCGATTCTGCGCTGGCGATAGCGACGTGCAGGAAGCTGTTCCAGAAGGTGGCGAAGGCAATCGAGACTTCGAACCTCCGATACACCACTGCAGAACACCAAAAAGACCGCTGCAAGCTGCATTGGAGGCTTCAAAGTCGACCCGGATCCCAACAAAGACTTCGTTACCGTTATAAACGTCGAACGTGCGAAGAGAGGTGCGGCGGGAGATGGGGTCGGACATCAGCACAGATAACAACACCGACAGTAGCGACGACGAGGTGGAGCTAATTGAAAGTGATAGTGATGAGGAGAGTTGCATAGAGGCGCAGGTCAATTAATTTAAAGCCTTTTTATTGGGTGGCTGACGAGCTATTGCAGAGTGACGGCGAGGTTGACGATGCCTTCATGCGCAGGTGGGGGGTGGTCGCGAGGGGGTCTGGTCGCGAGGCGGAGGGTGAACTTAGAGGGAGGAGGATGGAAGGGGGCGGTAGTCACTCAGGGAAGCCCCTTGGCAGGCACAATGATTAGTTGCTGGGAGAATGGAAAGTTATGCCGCAGTAGGACCCGTACCTAAGAGTCAAAGTGCATGGACGAAGAAGGGTGGGCTAGTCCTGGAGACATTTGCGGTGATAAACCTATAGATACGTCATGGTCGATGTCGCGAGTGCGCAGTCAGAGCTGCCAGGCATTTCACAATCACGCCTTTGAGCTGGCACGACCGGGCGGCAGGCACAGACACAGTGTTGGGCTCGTACAGCACGATTCGTAAGCAGAGACCATCATGCTTTTTGCAGTCATGCGAGGCTATAGCCCAGGATACATCTAGGACCAGCAGTCTGGAGAACAAAGGAATGATCATTCAGCTAATTAAACTATTTCAGCTCACAGTATACATCCAAAACCCGTGCCGTACAATTTGCCAAGGCACAATAAAACCCATCTCTACCACAGCTCGCAAGTCGGCTCCTTGACGGGACAGTTGAAGCTCTCTCTGAACTCGCGCGAATTGGCCGTCGTGCCCAAAATGCGGGCCCAAGCCGGCGAGTGAGGGTCCGTGTAGATGTAGTTGATGGCCTGCTCCTTACGGATCTTGCCACACCAGAAGTTGGCATAGAATATGAAGAAGAGCTGATCTTGCGAGAAGAACTCCAGCCCCGGGAGATTCTTGTCGGGCTGAGTGTCTTGTCGCTGCTTCCACGCAGCGAAGGCGGCAGCCACACCGCCGGCATCGGCAATGTTCTCGCCGAGTGTCAACTTGCCATTCACATGGAGCGGCTTCCCGTCGGTGCCCTCCACGGTGAAATTGCCATGTTGAGCAACGAAACAGTCTGCGCGCTTTGTGAATTCCTTGACAGTACGCCCGGTCCACCAGTCTGTGAAGTTGCCATGCTCATCGTAGTGTCTGCCGGAGCTATCAAAAGCGTGTGACAGCTCGTGTCCCGCAACAGAAGCGAAGGCACCATACGAGAGGTAGCTGGGAAGGTCGACGTCAAACACGGGGAACTGCATGATGCCCGCGGGGAAGACAATCTCGTTGCCAACTGGATTGTAGTAGGCATTAATAATGTCAGCCTGCATGCCCCATTCGTTGTGGTCGACAGGTTTGCCCAGCGACGACCAGCTCTTGTCAGAACTCCATTTGGCGCTGCTCAGGGTGTTCTTGAAGAAGGAGTCTGAGATGGGAAGATCTTTGTAATAGTCTCTCAAGGCGGGTGGCTCCATGATGTTGGGCGGCTTAGTCGGATACCCAATCTTCTGATCGATGTTCTTGACCTTGTTGACAGCAAGCTCCTTGACGGATTCGTCCATCCAGCTCAGACCGTTCAGCTTGGAGATGAACTGGTGCTTGATATCAGTGATGATTTCATCGCCAAATTTCTTGGCCTCCTCAGAGAATGCTGCCTCGATATAGAATCTGCTGAGGATCCAGCCGATTGTTCCGTCGACGTGGCGCAGGCAGGTTTTCCACCTTTCCGTCTTGGTCTCAGGGTCCTGCCATCAACAGTGAGCAATGGAATCGTCCAGCCTGACTGCTCATTTCACTCACTCTGCCGCTCAGCACATTGTTGAACCGTGAGATGGGCTTGACCTCTGGTGCCTCGATGGCGCTAGCATAGCTGTAAATCACTTTCCAGATAAAGTAGCTTTGCAGTACTCTCTTGGGCGTGTCGGCGATCAAGTTGGATGTCTTGGTCAGAAACTCTGGGAAGGCCAGTAGCATTGAGCTGTCTTTGTAGTCCTTAGGAGCAAGTGCTCTGACAGTCTTGTCAAGCCGCAGCGCAGGTCCAAGCTCCCCAACCTTGTCAATCTTTTCGATGTTGTAGTATTTCTAGACGCGTTAGCAAAAGTCTCATCATATTTTGTGAGGCATACGTACTGTGACGTCCTGGAGATCTTCCGGAGGTGGGGTAATTTCAGCAATTTTGACTTCTAACTCTACGACAGCCTTGGCCAGTACTGACGCAGACTTCTTCCAAGTCTCATGGGGGAGTAGAGTGCTGAAGACTTCTTCCAGAAGTTTCTGGTATGATGCCAAAGTGTCCTTGTCCTTGTAGTACTCCGGGGATGGGAGGGTGATGCCATCTGGGAATGCTTGGACAATCAGCAATTCCTATCAATCACATATTAGCGGACTCCGACTCCAGACAAGCAGACAATCGCGCACAGCACTCACGGGGTCCTTGTCATCTGCACCAATGAAGAGCTGCTCAAAGGAGCCAACCCCAATTTTCTCCAGGAATTCGATCGTCTGATGAAGAGACCCAAGCTCGCCTTCTGTCATGGGCTGGCCAAGCCCTCCCTCTGCCACATCATCGGCAAGCTCGAGATGTAATGCTACCGACTTGATGAGCTCCATAAGAGGCTCGGTTCCGACATTCTCGATCGCAGTCTCATTGATACAGGCGCCAAAGGACGTTTGCATCTTTCGGAAGTTCTCTTCGTCCGTGTTTGCAGTCGTGTGCGCGAGGTTCATCGGGGAGAAGGCGGAGTGCTAGCTGTTGTCAGCGTGTTTTCTTGCAGCACGGAATTTGCCCAGATCGTGGTTTTACCTTTGATTGACCTGGATAGGGTGACTCCAGTATGTGGCGGAGGATTGTCTGGCCAGTATCAGACATCTGAGAGGCGGTGGAAAAGGAGCTTCGGTCCTGAGGAATATCATGGCGAGCATTGAATCCGTCGCAGACCAGAGAGTCAAAGTTGGTGCAAGCATCAATGTTCTTGTAATCGGGAGAGAGGTTGTCTGACACAGGATGAGCCTTGCACGAACGAGATTCAGCGAGTTATTTGGACTTACACAGCAGCTCGGATGCTGCGTGGATGCAAGCGGCGGTGGTGCAAAGAGGGACTGCGGTATCTGCATTTCTGCCCTTCTTGCCGCGGTCCAAGACTAATGAGAACGAAGGATGAGTACAAGCTCATGATGGTATATCAATACCCAAGAGGGAGATACTAGCATACCTCCGGCGAGGACCAGGATGGCGATGAAGGCCACAATGATGAACACGCTGACGCAGATGGAGACCCAGCGACGAAGCCTTGCCTGTCTGACCTGCTCGTCCAAGGGCGTGTCGTCGACATTGCTCTGGTTGCCGGCCTCGGGGGCCTCGTTGGGAAGCAGCGGGGTCCGCTCGTTGTTGCCCGACATGGTGATGAAGCCCGGGTGGGTGCTGGTCGTGTACGATGATCGATTGTCGTGCCTATGTGGCTGAAGGCTTCAGCGCCGGTCCTCGGGCAGGGGATGACGCGTTGAACTGGGGAGCTGCGCCAGACCAGCCGGGCTTGTGGGACGTGGAGTTTAGGTCACAACTGTGAGGTTACGCGGCGGGCGTCCGAGTTGCGATGATGGGAGACGAGACCGAAGCTGTCCCCTACCAGCTGGATGAGTTGAGGAGGGAGAGAGGGTGAGCAAGTGCTGGGAGGAAGCTCGGGCGAGCTTGGTTGCTTGGGGAGCAGGAGCTGAGCTTGACGCTTGGGAGCTAGACTGGCTCGGAGCTTGTGACGTGTGGGCTGCAGGCACGCGCCTGCTAAAGATATGACTGCCAGGCAAGTGGACCCTGCCGGGTTTCTGACCCTGCATGCCAGCCAGGGTGCTCCTCGCTGTTAACCACGTTGCGGTTGCGGTAGGCGTAGCACTGTGACGCCAGCGCGTACATACTTGGGTCCAGCACGGGCTGACCCGAGCGTCGAGCCCCAGCTTCCCCGCATCGGGATGCCTGCCTGGCCCTGAGTGGAGCACGGGATTGGGACAAGATGACGGCATCTGGGAATCCCACGCACATGCGGGGTCCAGACTCCTTCGATCTCGGATCTCGACGTCGCAGACCACTCCGAGCCGTCAAGGTTTGCGCAGGGGATCAGTGCGACTGACCGACACAGCTACGGCTTCGAGCAGGTGGGCCATGTCAAGATGAAGCTCTCTAGTCTCGAGGCGTGGTATCAGGCATATATCGCAGAGGACGACAACGCCACTGGCGTAGACTCAGCCGTCGTCCAGGCTGTCAAGTCCGACTACCTCGATGACGATCTGGTCAATTCACGTGTTCAAAGTCTCCGGGCAACGGCATGCGTCGAGCAAGGTTTCTGCCATCAGTGCAAGCATCTTCTTGAACATTGGCCGAGCCTTCCCAGAGATGTGTTGCGGGCTCATCGAATTGCGCGGGTCCTGGAGACGGAAGAGGTCGAGGCAGCAGCCCTCGAAGGCTGCAGGTTTTGCACATTCATCTTCTACCGGCTGAATTTTCAGGGTCTTCTCAGAACATTTCGAAAAATTGAGGCACGACTTCGGAGGCTTGGGCTCCCTGCAACAGCCTCTCTAGCCGTCCAGAACTGGACAGAGCTCGACTTCACCCCTCAGCTGCTGTGGGTCAATTTTCCTGGAAAGAGTGCGAGCGAGTACGGTTCCCCAAGGGCGGAATCCTCACATTTCGAGTCACATGTCATGTCACCCCTCTGTACGCTGAAACCCCCAACGCGCGATGTCCGAACGAACCCTTCACTAATGCGGCTGAAGCGACGCTTTGGCGAGAGTATCGTGACGATGTCGACCTGGCCAGGACCTGGCTCGAAAGATACTGTGAATCACATAATCTCTGCGCCCGGCGTGGCGTGGAGGAGCACACGAAGCCCTCTAGGTTGATCTCGATTAAGAATGATGTTCCCCGACTTGAGATCACTTCAGAATGGGGGACGATACCTCCGTATGCCACACTCAGCTATTGCTGGGGAAGACAGAAGTTCCTCATGCTCACCGAAGATAATCTTGAACGCTTTATGGAAGGCATACCACTTGTGAGCATGCCCAAGACTTTCCAGGATGCCATCGTGGTACTTCGGGCACTCGGCCTCTCATACGTCTGGATCGATGCGCTGTGCATTATTCAGGACGAGCCTGACAGGCCGATTGGACGTACGAGGCGGGCCTCATGTGCTCTGTGTACGGCGGCTCCCACCTCAACTTAGCAGCCACAGGCGCAACAAGCGTCCACGAAGGATTATTCACGCGGGCACAGCACTCTAGCGGCGGGTTTTATGCCCAAATTACTGTGATTAACGAGTCGACCGGCCGTGGGGATCATTCGCTAATCCACAACTTTCATTCCCCACTGGTATATGAGGAGTCAACTACAGAAACTCACCTGGCACGTCGTGCCTGGACGCTACAGGAGAAGCTTCTGGCTCCACGGACGCTCATTTGGGGACTTGGGTATGTTCTGGGAGCGCCGTCATGGTATCGCTTCGGAATTTCTGCCTGAGGGTTCTCCCAACAAGCTGGGAATTCATCTCGTCCGGCCGGAGGACGAAGCATGGCCCTGGCATGAGATCGTCAACATCTATTCTGCAGCTCATCTCACATTTGGGTCGGACCGCCTCCCTGCCCTGTCTGGGATCGCGGCCCGGCAAGGCAGCCTCGTGGGCGGTGGCTATCTTGCCGGCATGTGGCAAGACAGGCTTGCAATGCAGCTGGACTGGAGGGCCAGAGAAACGAGACCAAGGCCAGAGAGGAGAGCGCCGTCGTGGTCGTGGGGGTCTATCCCCGGCAGCGTTGAATGGGCAGACGTCTGGCACAGCGGGCTGATGGGCACGAGAGACACAGGCCAGTATGTCCATGTGGTCGAGGCATGGACGAAACCTTCAGGCCCTGATCCGTACGGCGCCATCACTGCAGGACGCTTAACTCTTGCATGCTCTGCTGCGGCGCGCGGACATATCCAGTCGTGTGCGCATGACGAAGAGGACGAGGCTTGTGCTAAGCTGATACTCGAGCCTGGCCTGCAGGAAGTTCCCATCAGCCTGGATTGTCTCGACGCAGATTTCGAATCCGACACGCGCTGTGCATACTTGTTGCCGATTTTTCGCGGACATACAGAGAACAGATATCCGCGCGAAGGAGTCTACAACTTTGATGTACTGGAGCCGCATGGCAACGGGCCAGGGACGTTCCGCCGCATTGGATCGTTCAAACTTCGCGACAAGCCCTGCCCAGAAGCGCGCGTCGTCAAAGAGGACTGCAAGTATCACCAGGTTCTTTCAGTTCTGGGCGAAACGGGCGGAGCCACAGCAGAGAAGATCTGTAATAGTATTCTCGTGGATAGTGAGCATCCCGGTGCACGCTTTGTGATAAACATCGAATAGACGTGGTTCTTCGCTGTGCCATCAATATGTTACATATTCCATGCCATCAACATTACGTACCATAGCTTTATCAGCGAATGTCAGCCACAGCTTCTTTTTATGAGATCCATTCATTGTGTGATAGTCATGGTCGCGAAATGAAGTTGCTATATCACTGTGTAGTGAACGACAAACCGCCCTGAGCGGGCGGCTTTCTATTGCCTCGAACTTGCACCTTGAGATATGCCCCGCCTGAGAGCAAGTACTCGCACGTCTTCCTCCTGCCAGGCATGTTGGGCGCGGTATATTTGGGCCCCCCGCTGATGTTGACTTCGAAGTTTCGTGTAATAAAGATTCTGTACTCGACCTCGGGCTATTTCGGCCCTCTTACAGTGTGGAATGCAATCATCTCGTCTTCGTGGTCTGTGTGGTTCTTGTAGGACTAGTGGTCAATGCTAATCCCAAACCACGGCCCCTCTAGCCAGGACCACCGCTCGAGCCCGTCGCAGCCGGCGCGTTCGGCGAAGTGGAAGCTGTCGCCCAATACCCCATGAGGGCGGTCTCCATGTCGTCGACGCGGTTATAAGGCTGTTCGGCAGCCATGTCCTTGATTTTTGCGCGGATGAAAGGGTCTTGCATCTCAGTGACATTCTGTGGCCTGGATTGCCAGCGATCCTCCATGGGGTCGATGTAATGCGTCTCGTCGTATCCAGCAAGGGCCAGGTACGAGACATTGAATGCGGCCATCATCTCGTGGTCTTCATGGATCAGATTATGGCAATGGAACATGTACACCCCGTCCCAGGGGGCATAATAGGCTTCCACGGTCACCTGTTCGTTCGGTCCGAGCCATACGACGTCCTTGAGTCCGGCCGCTTCATAAGGCTGGACCACGCCACGGCCGTTCACCCGCTTGACGACCTTGAAGTCGACGAGGTGGATGTGAATCGGGTGCGACCAGCCTCCGCCCCCGTTTATCAGCTCCCAGACCTTGACTCGACTCCGCCCCGCTGCGGCTTAGCCAGTACGCAATTTTTGACATCAGAGAACGAGACACCGTTGATCTTCCACTTTCCGTTAATCCGCTCGAACTTGAAGGAATGATCGATGCCCGACTTGTCAGGAGGGTACGGGATGGTGCGGAGACGGCTCGGAAGGGAGCTGCTGGTGTCGCCGGAGCCGGACGGCTTGTCGCCAACAATGAACTTCATGACCTTGTCGGTGTGCAGGAAGTCCTTGTCTGCGGCGAACCCTCTGGTGTTGCGCAAGGTGACGTTCTCGCCTTTCCAGCGGGAGAAGTCCACGACAACCTCGTAGCGCTCAGCCATCGAGATATAGAGGTCCTTGGTCTTCTGCGGGCTGCCGAGCAGCCGGGCGTCCGAGCCAATCACGTTGAACTCGAGCTTCTCGCCGGGCTTCTCGCCTGGCTTCTCGTCTCTCTCAAAGAAGAGGAAGAAGGACCGCGATATGGACGCGTCAAGGAACCGGAAGCAATACTGGCGAGGTTCGACCTTGAAGTACGGCCACGGCTGGCCATTGACGTGAATCACATCGCCGTACAGGCTGGTCGTCTCGCTGGCAGGGCTGAAGAGCGTGCCATCAGAGTTGTACTGCTTGGCGGAAAGGACGAGGGGAACATCGTAATCGCCAGATGGGAGTCCCCAACCGAGCTCGTCAGGGTCGTGGAGCACATATACGCCGGCCTGGCCAAAATAGGCATGCTCCCTCAGCATATTTCCTAGCAATAAATTTTCACTCTCGCCTGGGTTGATGATTGAGTCGGGTGACCTACATGGTCGACGGCGTGATCATGATACCATAGCGTGCGGGCCGCTTGGTGGTTTGGATAGTAGTAGTCCTTGTACCGACCCGGGCCTGTCAGGTCTTCGGCCCAACCGTCCCATGGAGCTCGCTTGGTTACATCAGCATATTAGCAACGTCCAAATCATAGGAGATGCGGTCGTTGGGTAGCGTCTATAGATACCGAATAAGACCCGTGAAGATGGATGGAGCTTGCCGTAGTGGAGTTGTTGATGAAACGAACGACGGCCTCGGTACCCTTGTTCACCTTGAAGGTAGGACCTGGGGAGAAGCCGTCATACCCAACAAGTTTAGCAGGCGACTTGCCCGGGTAGACCTGTTGAGTCGGAGGGAGAATAGTGATTTCGTAATACTCGATTGTGCCCCCTGTGACAGGGTTCGTAGTAGTCCTGTGGCCGATACATGGCAGGTCAGACTCTTTGATACTGGGGAGCCTGGACAAACATGATAGCACAGTGGTAAGATCAGCGCGGCAGTATATGGCATAGACTGACCATTTGGGCTTCTTGATTGGTGGAATCGGGAGGGGGAACTGGTAAAGCCAGGTATAAGCAGGGCTGAGCCAATCCTTTGCTTCGACTATGCCGGTTAGACATAGCAACAAGGCAACGAGGGAGGTGTTGCAATACATGGCTAAGGGGTTGAAAATGATAAGAAAGAACCCCAGTGTCACTGTTGAGGCACTTGGCAATATGAATTGCTGGAAAGCTCTCGACACAAGCAGCCAAGGTTGGGAGATTGATTGCTTTCTTATACTCCGATTTCACACGAAGTAGGCGAGGCATAGTTCTCAACGATCCGGAAGAATGGTAAGACTGTGCTAGAGAGCCACGCAATGCTTTCACAATGCCGGCCCCAAATACCGCGCGTTTGATCAAGCTTTGGCGGCACACTTGGGGTGTGGTTGGCTGGCATTGCGCTGAACGTGGGCGTCGAGGTTGCAGCATCTGGCCACTGAGCCACCAAGCGCAACAAAACTTAGAAGCCGTCCCTTCATCAGCTCCCAGATGATAAGATGGGTTAGCTTCCAGCTCGAATTGCCATCTCAGAGACCAGTGTGGAGATGCATGACAAAAGTCGAGTGTGTGGAATCATCTAGGAAAGTCGGATATCTACAAAATTCACAGTGACCAAGTTGCCAGTGCGTCCGGCAAGCATGAATTTACTTGGCTAACCAGGTCGCAGTCTATCACTATAAGCAGTGGACCTCGATACAATCATCCGTAGTTGTTCAACTCCCTCCAAAGAGCAAAGCTTGTGAAGAAAATCGCCCGATAGAGATATCGTTGTAAGCCGGCCCACGAACGGCCAAGTCGTTTACGCTTAGCTCTCAGCCACGGATCTAACAATGCCCGATGGGGTTACGGCTCCGAGCCAATGAGAGGTTGAGAATGAAGATGTAACCATCCCGGTGGAACTTGGAGGAAATCGCCTGCTCGAGATGTTAGACTCGCCGCCCTTCTAGACCCGTCCCAACTGCCTCTCTCAGGGCGCAACGGCAGGATCAACTAGGGCTTACCGTATCTTGCAGACGGGATCACTGTATTCGAATTTGCCAAGTATGCTCAGAGACAATATAGCCGGCAGCAATAACCACCTTCGGTGGCGAGGCAGAAGTGCCGCTTGCTACAATGACTTACAAGCAGCCCTCGCCACGGAGATGATTGTCAGTGCTCTTAACGCCGGGCTCCATAGGCTGCTAGTGATCAGCTCCGGCTGCACGGTGGCGGACGAAGGGCTGTAGGCCGATCGCTGTCAGTGGTCACCGTCAGCTGTCGGATGTTGATGCTCCAATTGGTACGTCAAGCCATGTGTCGTGGGCCTCGGCGAGACCGGTCCGGAAGTCCTTTCAAGCTTTTGGCTGCCATGACAATGGCACCGGCTGGGCTGGGCAATGCAGGGTTTCGGCCAAGGCAAGCCGCCTGTGGTCATCTCCCCTGCAACCGCGTCAAAACTCGTCTAGAACGCGAGGCAATCGGGCGAGGGAAAGATGCTTCTGGGTGCGTTAGATGAGCGCCGCCGCCATTGATCTTGCAAGCTAGCCAGCTTAGTCCTCATTTCGAGTTTCCGAGGTTATCAATGTCACAGCCCATGGCGATGATGCAAATGTGGTATTGATGATGCAACATTCATGAGCCTGCCCTACAGCCGGGAGTCAAGATTGGAGCATTGCCCTTCAAATCTGCCATTGAGGTCTGCCAGTTTAAAAGTACTCTCACGCATAAGCAGAGCGACCTTCTCCTCGACCTTGAAAGATGCAAATTAAGACAAGGAGAAGAACCCAATCATCCAACTAGGCAAGATACGCAGTATTCGCGTGAAACTAGATGGGCCCGCCGTGATTCCCCGCGCATAAACAACCCTCTAGGTACGTCAGCTGGCTGAAGTGATATTTGGAAGACAGTGACCGAGACCTCAAAATTTGGAACTAGAGAACCGGTTCGATTTCTGGTGTTTGTATTTTGGAAGATATTGCTTGGTAAGAGAGCGGCGTGCGCGCCACTGTCCATTCGTCTTGTAGATCGGAGCTTGAACCAACGAGGGGTGCGTCCGCAACGTCGCAGGATCCCAGCCTCAGAGGCGGCCCTCGACGGGCTATTTGACGCCCAGGACTACAAGGTTCAAGACGATACGGCGGGTTGCAGGCCCTAGGGGCGTTAAGCTCTTCGACGTCGGGGGGAAATTGGTCACAAACCTTAACCGCATCCCCGTGTGGCCAGACCAGGGTTGAAGGGACCCCATTCTGGGAATTCCACGGAGCGAGCCGACCTGCCGAGAGGCTGATCGCGCCGCTAGCGCACGCCATTCTCGCTAAAGTCGACAAGGGTACGCCATCGGACGTTGCTTGAATTCTGACGAGGAGGCCTGCTCGGTCCTTCGCCAAGGCGTGGCATCACTCCCTCGAAATCAGGGCACCAGGACGGGGTCATGGTACTCGCTGTAGTCGGCGTAGTCCCGACACACCTGGAAACACGTGGACCGGTTCAGAGAAACGAACCCTAAGTATTTCCACATCGCAATGGGGTGCTCATGCTTCTCCCGAGTACCGCGGGTTGCTGTTATTCGATTTACGGGCTGCTCTTTGTCTGCTCGTTCAAGTGGCCAATCGGCCTCGCTACCATCTGTGTCCGCAAGCCTGGGCTAGAGGCTGGGCTGGTGACGATACACATGCTAGTGTACAAACCACAGTACCTCGTCGTACGACGCTAGGCTGCGGCAGCCTCGTTTGTTCTGGCCTGCAGAGTTGTGCCTACAGGCACTGCAGAAAGCACTTACCTTGTTAGCATAAGGTAAAAAACATGCTTACAATAAAGTAGCGTCCTTTATCGCGTCACATAAGCGTACTTACTTTACGCTTACTTTATGCATGCGGTCTCCACGCACCCAATCTCAGCGGCTCAGCTCGCCGTGCATGTTCGCATGACCATCTATCTGGTAACTCGATAAGCGGGCTGACCCTCGTCCCCTATAAACCGCCAGTCTTTCACTGGTAGTACTCCGCGAAAAGCCCAGCAAGCCTCCTCATTAGGCTCGACAATCTTAGCCGGCCAATTGTCATCTCCCCACTCGTCATCCAGGCCGGCCCCAAGGTGCATTTTGCAGTACTCCCAGTATTCGGGGTACCATCCGGCTTGTTCCCAGTCTATACTAGCGCAAACCCGATAGCAGCCGGGACTTCCAGTCACCATAATGTTAACGTACGTTATCAGTGAGTGGCCCATATCAGCGAGTGGCCCACCCTCATACTACCCTAGAACAACCCGCCTCAATTGCAACACATCAACACTAACAACCAACTATTATTACATCGGAAACAGCTGAATCTGACGCTTCTACAGCCTCCTGGCAAGTGCGTACATTATGGCCAGGCTTGCCGCACACACCACAGCAGCGAACCCTCGAAGGGCCCCCCCTTGTACCACTACCATCCAGCTGCGTTTCTTGTACTCCCTCTCTACCCACGGCCCCCAGGCCTAGTGCCTCCTGTGCACCCTGTATAGTAAGTGATCCTCTAAGCTGCACACGTGTTCTTTTGGCTCTCCGGCGCTTGCTTAGTGCCTCGTTGGCCTTGCGGAGTGAAGCGTTCTCTGACTCGAGGATGGCTACCCGGTGTATCACAGCTATTGTACCCTTGGTAAGCTGGTTAACAGCAGCTAACATCGAAGTCGGGGAGCTGTTTTGATGGCTGGTAATACGAGTCTTGATGAGCGTTGACTGCGAGTTGGCTTCTCGGGGGTTATGGGGTGTCTGGAAGACCCAAGGTTGTATAGTGCTAGGCCGTGAGGTCGGGGGTGTCGGTGTACGAAGCTTAACATCTAGCTTAGAGAGCACCCTGTCTGGGTCGTACGGTACAAGGCCAGCACCTGCAAAGCTACCCTGTATATTCTTCTCTGTTATAGAGGCAAAGAAGGCCTCGCGAAAGGAACAGAGGAACTCGGGCTTGCTCATATGGTTGATGTGCATGCGCATTAAGTCCTCGACTTGGCGACCGTACGCCCGCTTCAGTGGCCCAAAGCAGCCAATATCGAGTGGCTGGAGGAGGTGGGATGAATGTGGAGGCATGCAGAGCGTGATGATATTGTTCTGCTGGCAATGGAGCTCGAACTCGGTCGAGTGGTGGCTCTCGTGGCCGTCGAGGATCAATAACCGGTATTTGCCTTTCGGACGAGGTGCTGTATGGAAGTCGAAGTGCTTGATCCAATCTAGGCCTGCCGCATTAGTAGTCCAACCATTATCGGTGGTTGCGATGCGCCAGTCGGCCGGGAGGTTGCACTCGGTATACCAGTTGGCGAGGTGGTACTGTGCGGCCAAGATGATGAAGGGGGGGATGGCCCAGCCGAGGGCATTGACTCCCTGGATCACCGTTGCCCATTCACGGTTGCCAGGCTGGGCCAGCTTTACCTTGCTACGGCCATCCGAGGTCGTAACTACCATACCCGCGAAGATGATGCCCATCATGAACCCAGTCTCGTCGAAGTTGTAGATATCGTCATCCACAATACCGTACTTGGCCTTGACGTTCCGAACAAGGGCAAACCACTCGCCAATGACCTTTGGATCCTCACACTTGGCCCTCTGGTAGTCGTATCTACGCGTATAACGCGTACGGAGCTCTGGCTGGCGTTTGACAAATCGATGGGCCCAGAGTTGACCGACAGGAGGCGCGTCGCGTACGCGTAGCAGTTGGTTGGCCATATCTTCCACACCACACAATCTAGGTGGAAAAGCTCGCTTAGATAGCTCAACAATATATTGAACAATAGCTTCTTCTTCTGACTGAGTAAGCTTCTTCGACTTGGGCGTACTGTCGCATCGTGCAGGCTTGCCGTCGCGTCGGCGCCCTAGAGTCTTACGGGCGACCCCGTAAATCTCAGCAGCGGCTCGCACGCTTAGATTTTTGTCGTTTTGAAGAGCCCCGAGGGCCAAGATTATCTGGGCTTCCTTTGAAGTAGATGGCATATTGGGTGACTGAGAAAATTAGGTGTTGAGAGCGAAGGTGTCGCGTCGCGTAGAAAGTGGGCCACTCGCTGATATGGGCCACTCACTGATAATGTACGTTACATTTTATAGGAAGCATTCTCTCCTACTAGGAGCTAATTCTGGAACATAGAGGGTCGCTCCATTTTCGGCTTTGGACCAAACTTATCCTAGGACCGTGGGAGTACAAGCTATCTTTGGACCACTGGCTGTCCTAGGACCACTGGCTGTCCTGGGACTACAGGTGTCCTAGGACCACTGGCTGTCCTAGGACAACAGGCCACCTAGAACTGGCTGTCCTGGGACCACTAGCTGTCCTAGGACTACAGACCTCCTGGAACTGGCTACTTTGGGACTATCACTTGTCCTGGGACTCTCTACTTTTAGCCTCCTTGATATAAAGAAGTGCCGGGCTCTTTAGGAACAAGAAATCTTCGCTCTAACTATCTACTGAGCGATTCCAGCCATATTACCTCATATTCTCTTTGGAATTTTTGACTGACCTTAACTTTTATGAACTGTGTGTTCTAAAATGATCGTACTTGAACCCCAACAGATATTTCGCGGATCGGTCGTTCAAACAACATGGTCGACAGATGTCGTTATAACCCAAGTACTTTGTTCCGTTAGGGTAAATAGTCGAACGCTTCATGGCTTAGAGGTCCGAACTTCAAATGAGGCCGCAGATTTTATTGGTCTCGCCTGGGCACTTGAAGATGACTACATTCTCCACGATTGGAAAGAAGGTAGCCTACGGCCGTATGGGTCTAGGCAGGCTGCCTTACGTAAGATTGAGCATGTTTGTGCACATTACGAGGATCGTAATGGCTTGGTGTATTATGCCATCAAGTGGCTCGATCACCAGTGCCCGACTTGGGAGCTAGAAGAAACCTTGGAGGACTGCACACTTATCACGGAGTACTGTCTCGCACTTTCGTAGTACAATGTTTCTGTTCATCTAAGCCCTCTTGGAAAGGGATTCCTTACATGTGGAATCAGCAAAGCACACGACACGTCGGCCCATAATGAAATAGCACCGCCTCCGTCAGGCAAGTCACGTAGCTATAGTGTTAACGAGGCAACACGAACGTCAAGCTTGGCGCAACTTCTCATCGCGTATGTGCGTTGTTCAATTTAGGTCGGAATCACGTAAACCTCGTCACCTGGTGGCTCGAAAGAGCACTGACGTAGGACGACCGTAAAAACATTGGTAAGCTGTAAATAAAGGAGTACGCGACCGCGTTATTGAAGACAATCGATGGCCTAAGCGTTGCCGGTATCCTCGGGGCGGCCGCCGACAATAAGCGGGAGCCTGTTCATAGTGGAGAACATATGACTAGCAGCCTAAAATCCAGGGGACGTACATGCCCGAATCAGCTTATTAGAGAGGTAGAGAAACTAATAGATCCTACAGTTCTGGGCAAATCGGAGTTCGAGCATCTAAGGATCTGGAAGACATAATCCCAGACTTACTCTGGAGAACACGGTTGTAATCGGTGCCGGCTAGTGCAGTAAAGGGGGGAGCTGGAGTATCTCCACCGTGAATCAAGCTCTTTTTCAAGGCCACGCGGTTGTGCTCGAATTGTTTACGGAATAATCGTGGCTCGTGATGGTTCGCACATGAACACAGATATATACACAGACATACGCGCGAGAGATGGACCAGAAAAGTTCTCAGCAAGACACAGGCATAATGATGGGACTATGCACCCAAAGAGGGCAATTCATCCACGCAAACTGCAACCGGGGCGAGCTCGCCCGCGCATTGGCCGGCGTGCCGGGCCCAGCAGCAAATACGGCCCTCAGGGACGCGGCCACCTCCATTGAGAGCCCCCTTTTTTGGCCAGTCCCTGTGCAGGGTCATCGGATACTCCCTAGCGGCAAGTTCCTGGAGGAGGCGGGCTTCGCGATGTTGTGACAGGATGGAGATGCTTGGGATTGAATGACGCCATCTGAAAGAAACAATACCGAAAACATCACCCTTGCGTGAAGGCAGATCGCCGACTTCATTATGGCCAACTGATAACACTACTGCAGTACAGGCAATCCCCTTTTCGGTAGGGTGTCAGTGTAGAGCGTCTGTTGCTGTAGTTGCCGAGAACCTGCGTCGGCCCCGCCAATTAACGTTGTGGCCACTGCGTCTCCTGTGCGCCTCTACCGACTGGATGAAAGGGGATTGGAGCCGGAGAAGTGAGGTACGGTGGCTACCAGCACTGGGACTCAAACGTCATAGATGGAAATCATCACGGGGCTTGGCGCTTTGCTGACGTCATGGACATACCTGGCAGCAACAACAACCTCCTTATTTCAACGTACCATGTACGGTAACATGCCATCAAGATATGACAAGCAAACCTGGATTTCACTAGTCACGTCGTACGCTAAAATGGGCATTCAATACCCCTACAACAACGCGGTGATTCCGACATCCTTTGCGACTTGCAGCATCGGATCATATTCTCACCCAGCCCTGCCTGAGAAGTTAAAAGGCCATTTGCAGCGCAGGATTCAACGCGGTCGAATTGGCCATGCCGGATCTGTTAGCATACGGCATGTTCTTGAACGGCGAGGAACCGGATGCGAGTGACTACGACACCATTGTCGAAGTCGCTAGGGCTATTAAGCCTCTAGCGGAGGAAGTCGGAGTCGGGATCCTTATGTTGAAGCCGTTTGTGAACTTCGAAGGATGGAAGTTAGGCCTCCAGGATAGTGAAAGAGAAGATGCCTTTGCGAGGGCACGAGGATGGTTGATGGTGATGGAAGCCCTCGGGACAGACATGCTGCAGGTGAGCGATCTTCTACTGCTAGAAACATCGACATAGGCCTCTGACAGGACAGAAGTTGGCGTCGTCAGATGCTGAAGAGATATCACCTTCGGTCGACGATCTAGCCGCAGACGTTGCGAAGCTCGCTGACATGTGCGCCGAGGAAGGGTTCCGCGTCGCATACGAAAACCGATGCTGGGCGACGCGAACCCGGACTTGGAAGGCAGCATGGGAGATCGTGAAGAATGCAGACAAGCCAAACCTAGGGTTATGTTTGGGCACCTTTCAGATTTTGGGCGGGGAGTTTGGAGACCCAACAACCAGAACGGGGTTGATCGAGGATATCTGCAGGGCTGAACTGGAATCTCGCTGGAGAGCGAGCCTCCGACAACTGTCGGCAACGGTTCCTGCAGAGAAGATATTCCTCGTACAGCTATCGGATGCGTACAGGATGGACCCGCCAATCAAGGAATCCAGGGATAGTCAAGGGTCATTGTCTCGGTTCAGATGGAGTCAGGACCACAGACCGCTGCCCCGATAGAGTCTGGTAGCGGGGGGCGGCCCCAAAAGGGCGATGGCATGTCCTCCAGGCTGACAGCAGCGACGACACAATACGGTAGAATACGCTCTTGCAGGAGATTGAGAAGGCAGCAGGTTACTTGAACCGACGCTGTGTACTGGCCCACGGGACGACTGAACGTATACTTTCGCGCAGGTTCCTACGTACATCCCCTGGTCTAGGAATTGAGCCTCATCGACTCTTCAATGCACCCGGTTCTGTTCCGCAGCATTACCTCCGGATTTGGGCGGCATGCATTCTATTCACATGCCGTTTACTTGTCCGAGTCCTTGCTGTAGAAGGCTTCCTCCCCTCCCAGATCCTTCAGCGCCTCCTTCGACTTTTCCTTAGATTTCTCACTTGTATCTTTCCTCTCAGGTTAGCAGACCAAACAAAATCCCGATGAGCGGATAACACGCACTTGGATTGCTCAGATTGGCCTTGTGGCCTCGCGCCTGGTTGCTGCGTTCCTCTGGGGTATCATGCATGCCTTCCAAGGCAGCATCCTCCTTCTTGATGTCGCGCTGTTGATGGGACATGACGGCGTTCGGATAGGTGTATCTTCGGTGGACGGTCATCGAGATCCAAAAAGTTTTGGTTGGGGTCAATATATACAGGGGCAAGAGGAAAACCTAGGCCGCACATGTACACTTAGGTCCAAAGCGAACCACAACATCATAGATCATCATCAAGAATATTACGTAGTTATTACGTCAACAGAACGAAATCGATGGACCTGGCGGAGGAAATACCACTGAAGTGCGTTGCAGCCGAGGCCTCGAAAGCATAAGAGCTGCTAACTGAAGCCCAGTCCATCTTTTGTGCAATGGGGAATACTTGAGCTCGGTCGGCAAGGCGCACTACGCAACTACAACACTTCGCATTCAGCTTTAATCGCATCGCCACACCAGTCATCATGTCCAAGGTGGCTCACGCTTACACCGACGACAAGGAAGGCGCCGCCCTCCCTCCGGAGGCGCCAGATGGTCAAGTGAGCGATTCCTCGTACTCGACCGGAAAGAGCGAACCAATTCCTGTTCAGGACGACACCGCTCCGGTCGAGGATCCCATTCGGCCTGAGAAGGCCAACTCAGACGAGCAACTCGGCAAGCATTGCTTTCCTTCACAGCATATGCATCCATCAGCCAACAAACCCATTATGCTTACTAGACCTGGAATGCTTACTGACACCATAAGTGCTTATAGAACAGGATGAGAAGGAAGCTATCGACAAATCCAATATCATCAAAGAGCGTACCCGAGGTGCGCCGCCGAAGGGCACGTACCAGGGGCCGTCGGATGAGAAGGACCTAGTCGAGTGAAAGTGCCACGAGTCGTTAGCCGTATGCGTCAGGTGGAGTCATCTCTGAGAGCTGCCATGAGCAGTTCACGGGCAGGAGATATAAGGACCACAGCTAAAAGTAGATACTTAGCGATCTTCCTGTCGCAATGAAGAGCAGATCAATCCGGGTACTTCTGTCTGCCCGAAAAAGCCGTTTTAACGTAACATCTCGACAGAACACTCGGCTTTCCTGACTCCAATTGGCTGCCACGCCGGCTGGGCCCCATAGTGTGCCTACTGTGCATCCGAATTCTTCAGAGCACCAAAATGCCGGCGACTCGATTCCCAGCATGAGAGAGAGTGAGAGACCGTGCAGGAGGGTCAAATCTTAACAGGAGGTGGCTAGTCTTTAAGGGCCTAGGGCCTATGGCGTTGCATGTCTATTTTGCCGTCTCTCCTACCTCGGGTAGATGAGCAGCAAAAAACAACCAATTTCTCCCAGCTCAACCACAAAAGTCTCGTACCTCAACTCGCCTTGATTCCCTCCCGCAGCAGCAATGTATCCACTCGTCACAATCAATAAGTCTTGTGAGAGTCCATGTCTATTTGGAACCACCTTTCCTGCCTGCCTCGGACGCGCGCTCGCTGCCGGGCTCGAATTTGCCTGACGAGGCCTGGCCGCCTTTCGAGGCGATTTCGCGCTGTTTTTCACCCTCATATTAGCTAAGGTGGCACCCGGGAGCGCGATGGTGAGGTGAAATTTGCCCAGGAAAAGAGTATAGCAATGTACCTGTTTGTCTGGATCCATGCTCGCGAAACCACCGCTGTGGGAGGCCTGGCCGCCCTTAGATGCTACCTCCTTGACCTCTTCGGTGGGACTGTCTCTTATGAGCGAAATAATCACGGCGATTGTGGCGGGGCGCTGGGGGGTCATACCGGTTGGCGAAGTTACCGGGGTTATCGTTGGATGACATGCTGAGATGAATCCGATGCTGCTGGCTGGGCGGCGTCGGTTGCAATGTAGTGTTCGGTTGGGTTGATGCTTTGGTTTTTTCGGGGGGGCTGATGTTGAGGTTGAGGATTGCGTTAAAGTAAGGAGAAACGAACTGATGGTGAAGAGGCTGTTATTTAAGCTACAGTAGCGACCTGCGGAAGGTCCACTTTGGCGTCTCCATGAAGTCATTGACTCCGCCTCTGACACGGATCTGACGAACTTCTGCAACAATCAACCAGGTTTCTCTTGAAGCAGACTAGATCCTGCGGTGACGATCCTCTGACGACACGAGCCAACGGTGAGTCAACGATTGGGAGAGCTTCATCTTTTGACTTTGCACCAGAGCTGCAGTGGTTTCAATTTCGTCACTACCGTGTAGGTGGGACATTTAGCGAATCAAGGCTCCGCCCCACATCGGGAAATTCCCTCGTATCCGATCCAGACACCCTGAGCTCCGGCTCCGACGCCCAAGACTCCAAGTCCCCGGGGTTCCGACAAGTTTCGGGCTACTCACGCTCGGCTGGTAGTGACTTGGGAAGCGAGCTCGAATTGTCAGGGTTACAGGGCCCCCACTAGACTGACGGGTCCGTCTGCTTACGTCAACCCAACAGATTATATCAGCCCGCATAAGTGCATCACCCGACGCCCGCAACGAGACTCCGTCAATCGAAAGCCAGACCTCGGTGACCAGCAAACTACCCCTGATTCGACTGGAGGACTGGGTCGAGGAGAAATCCTATGATGAGGATCCGCCTACTTGTATACATTACTCGATCAAATGGAAATTGACAGTAGATGGCAGAGTCGTCCCTGGCTCCAAGGATAGCGAGCAAAACCTTGTCCTCGCGCCAGGTGACTACTGGGAGAAGACCCTACGAAGCAAACTCGATAAATTGTTGAAGAAGAAGCTAGCCTCGAATCGATCGTATCGACCAGACGACACCACCGTTGTAGTCCATGTGCAGGATCGATCGGAGAGAGACTTTGTGAAAAGATTCGACGAACTGGACATCGAATGGCCGATTCTGGAACAGCAACTTCTCCTCTGGAGCAACCTGTTTCGTGCTGGACGACGATCGAGGATCGAGATCACCTTTAACTACATCCAGACAAGTGGAGGCGCTGGTGTGACATCCAAGCGTGGGACCAAACGAGGCTTCGCGTCTACTTCAGAACGAATGCTCGCACAACGTGACATGTACATTGCTGCCGAGGAAGGCTCCAGTGGGCAGCCATCAATTTGCCAACAGGTGTACGCGACCTTTCGCTGCCCAGGTCCACCCTGCCACGTCAGGCCATACTGCTGGCAGGATAGGGACACCAAGAAGCGATACCGCTTAACAACACACCATTTCAAAGCACACACGTAGGTCTGCGTTCTGCTCTTCGGCCATTCGACGAATCACTTTTTTAGTCCAGCCTTCCGCCCGCAAGGCACGGCCAATGCTTGACGTTGTTACTAGTGTCTCGAATTCGTCCCAGAGGAACACCACCATCTCGTCTTGGTACATCCCAGGTTTTTCAAGCAATCGATCGAACAACGCACTGAGCATGGCCGGGGTGATACTCTTCGGCTGACCAGCAACGTTCGCAGGGGCTTTCGTGGTGCCAACGTGTCGTAAATGGGATCGTGTACGTCGGACATTGCGCTCACTTCATCGGACAGTCCTAGGTATCTCATTGTTAGCATATTTTCCACTTGTAATCATATGCCCAAGCTGTTCGTGGACAGATTGTGCGAGGTTCGGCGCCATGGCTATTTGTGGTTTTAGATCGGTCACGGCAATTGCGGGACATTCAGAGTTGGGGCACGCACTCTGTCTTCTGGCTCACCCTCGGACAAGCCAGGGTGGACGTTAGCGCCACCAGCGTATCCACTACATCTGGCACAGGGGTGTCGAAGAGGGAAGGGACTGTACATGTTCATGCAATCATGCCAGAATGGCTAGAAAGATGGCTGCCTGGACGTACAGTACCGTAGCTGCCTTGTGAGGCTGACGCCTTACACTCCACAAACTGGGTTGAACGATGGAGCTCATTTGGAAGCCATGGCATCATCACAGAGCTCACACCATGTTCCCTTTCCGGAAGCTTACGGGAGGCTCGTGGCTCGTTTGTGTCGGGCTGCAGGCAGCCCCGTTGCGGGGAAAGGCCAGGGTAACGCCGTCTTAATCCCGGCGCGTGGGTGGTTTGCGGTCCGCCGGTCTCCAGTTAGCCTCCACGACGAAGTTCTCATGTGTAATGGTTCGGTGGATTTGAGAGGGTCTTGAAGAGTTCTCAAAGCGGCTCAGTGGGCATCAGGAACAAATGAGGCTACCTCGGCAAAGCTTGAGTGCGCCACCCATGGATTGCGATGTTGGCATTCTCCTTGGCGGTCTTGTCGTTTTTACTAAGAGCGAAGGCGAGGGAGAAGAAAATATTTGCGAGTACTGGATATATATTTGGACCCAAACTCCCGACAGTGGGAGAAAACTCGTCAAGGATGAGAGGCTGGTGATGGCTTGACGAAGCTATGCAGGCTATCTACTTCAGCGCCCTCAAAATGGTTCGACATGCCGTCCGAGTTGGACCTCGACCCATCTACGTCCGCATGTGACTCTTGGCGAAGGACCTCGCGAGTCACCATGATCACGTCGCCATCCTTGGTCGACGTGTGCGGGAAGATCTCGTCCTGAGACTCGTTCTGTGCCACCGCGTGCCGAAGCGCTTCGACATGGCTCGACGTGCCGTATGCCCGCGAGTGGATGCGATTGGCATTCTTCGAGGCCGTGCCCTTGTTAGTGTAGGCAATGCTTCCGCGGCTTTGCAGGCGATAGGAAGCTCCCTGTTGTCTTGAGTTGCCATAGTATCGATTCGAGCTGTCCCCAGTGGAAAGCCCCAGGGCCGTGTTGAGCCCCGGGATCTTCCTGGCGACTTGTCGAAGTGGCGGTATGCAGGAGCAAATTATCAGAGCACATAATTCGGCTTCACACCAGATCAGTGGTTCGGCGAGCAGATCTATCTCGGACGGTCCCAGGTCAGCAAAAAGTCAATCGTGTACGAGCCTTGCAATCATTTCTGGTATCATACTTACATGTAATGTTCTTCCAATCAATGCTGGTGACCGCATGAATGCGGATGACCGAGATCGATGTCACACTATGCAAGGTAGATGGTCAGCATTTTGTGCGCGCGATGGGTCCAAAGTTTTATCCGTTTGGCTTACAGCAGACCGAGTGACATCATGGCAATGAGACCGATCCTCTTTGCTACTGGCATCTGCAGCTTCCACATGGCTGGAA